TGAAAGGTTTGACAAATGGAGCTCCTTGATGGTTTTGTCATAACTAACAAATTTTTCTCCATGTGAAATTTGCTCTTCTTTTTCAACAAATCCAGGTCTTGGATGTTCAGGAAACTATAGATCGTCCACAGGGTAAAGAGTATGAACATGACCTTAGTGAGACAGAAAAAGCTATAGTCAGAGAAATGTGCAATGTAAGTTGGATGTGCTTTACTGTGTATTCTGTGTTGGAACCCTCATCATAGCCTAGCTATTGCTTTATAAATGCATTAATTTAAAAGTATTGACCAAATGCCTTTACAGTTTTATATGGAAAAAATCTAATAATCACCCTTGTTGTTTTTTACCTTTGGTACCTCTTATTGTAGGTTTATTAACACAATGATCTCATTACTAAATATTGAGATCAGAGGGCTTAGTAGTAGAGTATTTCCCCAGACTGCTGCAAATAAAAATTATATAAAAAATGATCATCCAATTCTGTATTCCAGAACCACCTATCAATATAAGTATTAAATTTATTATCCAAACCATCATAGTACTAAATTTGATAAAAAAAAATGGATTTCTGCTTCTTATTTTTAAGATTTAAAAAAAAATTCTCTAAAAGCCTATGATAACCTCTTCAGATGTATTTGAAACTATTCTTGGGAAAATATCACCACTTTGCTAGGTAATATTTGATTAGCTCCTCATACATATATGTGCTTCATGTCATGCAAAGTGTTGTCTACTTTTCAGTTGTTGACACAAACTTAGAAATTAGTGAGGTGAGACAGAGATAAACATTAGAGAGAAAATACAAAAATATGAGGTTGGAGAACACCATTAAGAAAACTGATGTTATTTTATTATGTTTATCCAGTGTAATTGTTAATGTCTTGATTTTCTGTCTGGATTTTCTTACTAATCACTGAATAAATTTTAATTTATCAATAACACACACATGTTATAACATTTAATCAGGAATATAATATGTAATGTTTTAAGGAGCCAAATGAAATATTATGGAGGAATGACTTAACATTTGTGACTTAGTTGTGATTAAGCATGATTATACTTTGTATTATGCTTTTATCCATATTTTCTATTCTCTGTTAGGATGTCAAATTTGCTTAGAAATATCACCAGGCCCAAGTGGCTCGTGCCTCTAATTCTAGCTCCTCAGGAGGCTGAAATCAGAAGTATCACAATTCAAACCAACCCAGAAAGAAAATCCATGAGATTCTTATCTCCAATTAGCTACTAGAAAAAGCTGGAAGTACAGCCATAATTCAAGTGGTAGAGTGCTAGTCTTGAGCACAAAAAGCCCTAGACAGCATCTAGGCTCTGAGTTCAAGCCTTCCCCCACTCTTCCCACCCCACCCCACACACTGTCCTTTAGCTCTAGTTCTACTAGAGCCAAGTATTCTCAGATTCTTCTTCATCTTGTGGAGATAACTTGTTACATAATAAGTCCTGTGGGCATTTTGTCTGTGCTGGGGTGAGAATCTTAGCCTCATACTTGCCTGTGTTGTAGCTGCTTTGTCTTTTGTAATGTTTGCCAAGTTACTTTGCTTTCCTGCATATATGTTGTCTGTTTTAAAATGGTCACTAGTTCTAGGCGTCATAATTTACCACTGTGGCTTTTTAAGTTGGGCTTGAGATTTTCAATTTGAATATTGCCCTTAAATCCATTTACAAATTACGAAGGGCTGTTTTTCAACCATTGACAATGGAATGAGAAGTCGAGTTCAGGAACTGTAAGGGCCCACAGAGGTCATCTTCCAGTGGCCTCCAAGGAGGAGTATGTAGAGCTACTGGATCTGCTTTCTGTTCAATGTCATTCCTGTTCAATGTCATTCATGTTGAATGTCAAGATAATTTGGATTTGAAACTCTGGGTAAGATTCCAACACTCACATTTTGTTTTTGAAGGAACTAGATCTGAAGTAAAAGTATTTGCAACAAACAGTAAAGTCAGGAATAGACCTAGATGGTCTTTAAGGAGTAGGTCCTGCCACTTTCCCTAGTATGTTAAATCTGGGAACTTCGGTTTTACTTTCTAGAGAATGAAAACTAATGTGTCTTATAGATAAAGCTATCTTCTTTGTGTTCAATGCCTGCATTTCTGTAAAGAAATGCCAGAGTTGTTCTCTATACTTGCTTTCTCCTCTTTCTATCTCATCCTTATGAAAGATTTCAGGATAATAGAAATTCTATTTCTTTCGTCTCAGAAGAAACAAATTGTAGCACAGGGTCTTTATTAGTTGTGAGTTTATTTTGGTTTGTTTGTTTGCTTGCTTGCTTTAAAAGGCACCATGTGGTGTTGGTATTGTTTTCCCCTACATAAGATATTTTCACAAAGCCAAACCTTACTTTCCTTCTTTATATTTACAATTCTCTGGGGTACCTCTTCTAACTTTGTCTTTTCTAACATTGTCTTTAATCCCTAGAATATGTGCAAATGAAACCCTATTAAGTGTTCTTAAGCACTTATACTTGGAAATTATTTAAAAATCAAGACAGAACATGCCGATTTAAAAGATTATTAAGACTGAAAAATGAAATATTTGTATCACCATCATAAATTATAAGACTAACAAACACATATGGTGGCTGGACATTTCCTGCTCATGCCTGTAATCTTAGTTCTATAGGAAACCGGGAGAAGTGATTCAAGGCTAGCTAAGGACTAAGTTCATGAGACTCCATCTCACCCAATGATAAGATTGCTATGGCTCTGTATTCTTACCATCCATGCTAGATAGAATCTGAAAGAAGAAGGTCATAGTGCAGGCCAGTCTGAACTAAAACACCATGGAAAAATAATGAAAGAAAAAAAGGATTCAAGTGGTAGAGCACCTGCCTAAGAAAATACAAGGTTCTGAGTTCAACACCTTTACCACCAGGTATGGTGAGGAAGAAAACCAACCCACATAGTAAATATTGGGGAATTAAAAAAAAACAATTACAAAGCAATTTCATAAATAACTTCCTGGAAACTAGTGAATATTTTAAAGACTTGGCTACTATAGAAGGAGCTACATGAATTTATAATAGTATCACAGAATTATAAATCTTTCTCACTATGTTAGAAGAATATATCAGTCAGAAGATTCAGGGAGAATTTAACTTGATGGAAGTTTTATCACAGTTTTCAGTATTCTTTCTGGAGATAAGTCGTTGACATCTGTACAGGGTACCATGTCCTCATCAGGTTGGTTAGTAAGCATTTGGTTAGTTACTCTCTTCTAGAAATAAATACAGTGCCTTCTAAAAGATAACAAATTGCTATTTTTGTAATAACACTGTATTTAAGATTTTTTTCTTTTTTTCCCTGGGTAGCTCTTGTAAATTTCTTGAGTTTTACTACCCTTGCCTGCTACAAGAGTCTCTTTATACCACATCATAATATCTGGAGAAAGACCCACTTTTTTGCCACATTTGAATAATTGAAGAGAAGTTGCACTTTGGGGTTGTGACAGCAAATGCCTTATGTTTCTGATCCCTGTAAGGTCTTCCAGTCTACCTCATGCTTCCAAATCAGACATCTAGACATCCTGAGCAGAGGTCATTGTCTTAATTAGTTAGAAAGGGAAAGTTCATAGCATCTTTTGGCTTCTTGATTCATTGTTTGTACCTCTACAGTGAATTTATTATGAAATGAGACGTTCTTTCTGGATAGTGTGAGCTGTCCCTTGCTGTATTTTCTTTTCCCAATAATTAAGAAGCCTAATTACAATTTCCCTTTGAGTCCAACAGGACATAACTGCCATGTAGTGGTGTCTGCTGACACAGAAACCATAGCGTTCCATTAACATACAAATGAAGATAAGCAGAACCCTATATTTGTGCCATTACTATGTATGTTATTGGGCTTCCCTAGTGAACTCAAGAAGCACATCTTGTGAATACGCAGAAAACAAACTGGATTCATGTTAATTTTACAGTTAACACTACTATTTTTTGTTGTGGATTTACCAATTTAACATAATCTTCATAGTGAATTGCTACAGGAGGTTTATGACACCCATGCATGGATATTTATTGCAGTTAATGTTAGTGTACCAGAGTATTACTGGTGATTTTCCTATGTTCATACTCACATAACTCTTGATCTTCTCTTTTGCTTAACAACCCTAAAAAAAAGCTGTGAACAGTTTGTAATTATATTTATTTCAGATTCCTAAATTTACTCTTATTTTTTTTCCCTAGAGTGGGGTGGTTTTGTTTTGGAAATCTGAGGACATTTCCAGTAATCAGGACTTGTGTGACAACTGAGATCCCTATTTTGCTGAGATATTCAGGGAAATTTACTAATAGCCCTAAGACTTCCAGTTCAGAATGTCCAAGAGAAGAAGCTTTTTCATTTTCCTACATGAATTAGATATTTGATAACTTTTGGTATAGATTTTTGATACAGAATCAGGATGTCCTTAGTCAAGGGTTCTGCACATTAAAATGACAATTTCTTTTTTTTGGGGGGGGTCCGGTCGTGGGGCCTGAACTCTGGGCCTGGGTGCTGTCCCTCAGCTCTTCAGCTCAAGGCTAGGGCTCTAGCACTTGAGCCACAGCCCCACTTCCGGCTTTTTTCTTTTTGCTCATTTGATGCTGAGGAATCAAACCCAGGGCCTCAGGCATGCAAGGCAAGCACTGTTCCACTGTGTCACCTTCCCAGTCGTAAAATGACCATTTCTGAGGGTCGGAATTACTGCTAAAGAATCCTCTAAGTACTTGGAGGACACTGAAGGTTGAGGTGACCAGAGTAAATTGGCTCTTCTTGAATTTGGACCTTTGTTGCTAGCACAGTATAGTCATCCATCTGCAAGGCAGTTCTGGTGTTTCAGAGATGTGTCATCTGTTTACTGTGTGTTTGAACTCATTTATGTGGCTATCCTGTCTCTTGTCTTTACATCCATTTCTGCTCTTCTCCATAGATTCCTCTTGAGACTCAGAATTCTCTTTGTGGAAGAAGACATATAAGATACTTACTTCTTTTCTTTCTCCTTTCTTTTTAAGGTTGTGTGGAGGAAACTTGGAGATGCTGCAGGTTCGTGTCCTGGAATTAGGCAACATTTGTCAGGCAACCAGTACAAAGGGCCAATGTGAAGATTGCTCTTCTTTCAGACATAAGATCACCACTGCCAGAGAAAAAATAAAAGAAGAACGAAAAGTAAAGAGTATATTTCCATAGACCTAGACTCATGGAATGATTGTACATTGCACATATCTCCCCTCTATAACGTCCCCCATCACGCTGATATATTTTGTGTGTCTAACTTCAGTGTTCATAACAGGAAATTCCAAACAGTGTAGATTTGAAAAAATACATCACCGTTTTAGTAGTCATGTTTTCATTAGAGCTAAAGTGGTATTAACTCCCCAGATTTAAGATTGCAATTGGGAAACCTGCATTATTGTCAGCATCTCAGAGAGCCTCACTGGCTTTGATTGAATTGATTCATGGCATCTAAAAGTGGGAACCTTTACCATGATGTAAGGAGATAAGAAGAGGCATTTTTCCAGCTTCCTGAGAGTGACAGTTGGGAAACTTCCTCTTTTACCTCTTACACTTCAATAAAGGAAATATTCGTTCCTGATGCATACATAATGAGGATGTGGGAGACTATTTGGTTTCTAGGATTTTGTTTTGACTTTTAAGGTGCTAAATATACCACATAAGTTGTTTTACCAGCTAGAAGGATAGAAAGACTTTGTAAGTGCTCACCAGAGAGTATCACTTATTTCAGCTGAGCAAAATAAGTAGGTGTTTTTTGTTAATCTTGATGATTGCTCAAAAGGTACATCTTGGGGACTTGTCAACCTCCATACTCACACAGTATATCAATTTCAACTGAAAAACAAGCAAACATAATTTTCTAAGTGTTTTGAGCTGTGATATCAATTTCTACAACTTAGTTTTTAGACATGCTGTATGTTTAATAAACTTCATGTAAACTTTAAAATATTGCACTGCATTTATGGGGGGAACAGCTTTGTCTCCTGCAGCTAGCTATCTTTCCTAACGCATGCCCTTCATTATTGAGGCTAAAGCTCTTGTTCAGATTGCTTGAGATTTGAAAAAGAGGCGTGCTAGCTTTGCTTAGTTTATTCCTTATTTTTTGGTAGAGATATATAATATTAGAATGTGTGTATCAGAAATGCTATGATAGATATTTTGTGTTTCTCTAAATTCAATGATAGTTTCCTGGATGAATGTGCAAGAGGCCTGTTGACAGAATGCTACCTTTCTACTGTAGTTTAAGGTTATAAAAGGAGGGATGCAACAATTCCCATTTTGGGCATATCTTCTAAATCACGGCAAATGATCTTTGTTGTTTCTAAATGGGCTCATTACAATGTATTAATGGTCATTAGTGGCAAAACCTGAAGGAATTTTGTAGTACTTAAAAGGAAAAAGTTTAACTGTGTTGAAAGACTTGCCCTCTATTTTCAGAAAAATTTTGTGAATTCATTTACTATAGAATTATCTCTTTCTGTATCACAATTGGGTTAGAGTTTAAGCCTTTCTTTTAAGATGTTATATTTTTAAATATTATTATTGTGTAAAAGAAAATTGCTTGCTATATTTACACCTTTGGTCACAGAAGAGCTTTCATCCTGAATTTGTTGCATTCTTCCACCCTGAAGACATTTGAAACAAGTTTTTTGTGTGTGCGGCAGAGCCTGAAGAAGCTAATTGGAGGAACCCACGTCTTTTGAGAAAATACTTGTGTAAATTTTGATACTGTATTAAAACTATTTTTTTAAAGTTCCACCTAAAACTGAGTATTAAGTATACGTGTTCATCTTAGCAATGGTAATAAATTATTTAATCTCAAGTGGTTTTGTTTTTTGTCTTCTTTCAGATCTTTTCTCTTTGTTGAATAGGTTTCTATTCCTCATTAAATATTATCATGCCTTCATGTGATGCTGTCAATGGTGATAGAGATGATCCCGTATCTTAAATATAAAGAGGGTGTGCTTTTAAGTATTCTTGTAAATAGTGGCTTAATATTCAGAGATATCTTTTAGCATTTTTTTTGGTTGTTCATGGGGCTTGACCTCTGGGCTTGGGTGCTGTCACTGCGCTCTTCAGCTCAAGGTGAGCTCTCTACCGCTTGAGCCACAGCACCACTTCCTATATTCAGAGATATCTTAATTTACACTATTCTCTATCTTCATGTAGTTAAAAATTAAGATGATTATTTAGTGATATTTAAGAATATTTTTAAGTTAGTTTATGTTGTGCAATCTTCTTTTATCTAATTCACATAAACTTAAGTTTCATTCACTAAGAAAATTATTTATGAAACTTACACCTTATTGACTACCTGAGTAATAGATAATATGACCAAAGCATAAACAGGAAAACACACACCCTGGTTCTCCATGTAAATCATTAATAAGTTTCTGAAATAAAGATTCCTACATTTAGCATTAGCCTCAACTTTAAGTGACAGATGCATTGATCAAAATGACTAGCACCATTGTCTTAGGTGACTTGCATAAGTTTATGATCTTATCTTTATGATTAATCTTTCATGGGACAAAGGTTAATTTACATATCTTGACAGTGTTTTTTTTTAAGCTCTGAAGCTGATAGACTGACAATCACAATCTAGCTTTTAATGAGTGCCTTTCATGTTTTAGCACATGCTTAAGGCATTGTAGAAAATTCAGATCATCTCATGTTACATTCAGTGAAACACTGACAGTCTAATTGGGATGATTGTTCCTTAGCTCAATGAACATTCAATGAATGCCTACCACTGCCATCTGGGTAAACCCGGTGTTGGTTCCTGACACAGTGTGCTGACTACCTCAGACACATATGAAAGAATTGTGTCTTGGATGTCAGGGAGCACTTTTTATATCCTTGATATCTAGATAAGATTGTATTGGATAGCCATTTGCTTGATCAAAGTGAACCTAATGATTTCCACTCATGCTCAGAATTTGCCCTCTACAGTAAGCTTCTTGATGTCTGTTATCTCTTTGCTTCAGTGGTAAACTTACCTACATTAGAGTGTTGGCATTTATTTCTGGAAAAGATATATTCCCAATAGGCTCAAGATGCTTCTATAGAAAATTCATATATTGGCTTCTGGAGAATCAAATGAACTTGCCAATATTTGACCATCTTTGAAAAATAAGAACATTAATTTCATATGGATCAACCACCAGACCATGAAGAGATTGGGGGTGAGGCAGAGAATGGGAATTAATAAATAATAACTCAGAGAAATGAGGCTCATTACGTTGAGTTCTATTGAAGTCTAGTGACAGGAGATGCATTGAAGAGTGTTTAGACAGCAAACATTAGCTCTGTCAGCATTTGACTGTAAAATAGTTCTATATGTATGAACAACTTCACCGAGTCTGTTTTTTCTCATACCAAATGGAAATAGCATCTATTTTACCGAGGAATAATAGCAAGTTCACCAGAAAAGAGCCATATTGGCTGGTTGAAAAAAAAATCAGTGCTGAAGGACCTATCTACTGCCATATAAAGAAATTGTAAGTTCCAAATGAGGAAATTCTAAGTACATAAATACATACTATTATGTTCTGTTCTATATGCATCATCCAGCCTATCAACCTTGTCATGTCTAATTACAGATGGCAACTGTGTGAATGGAGAAAGGAGGGACATTAGTCTGAGTCTCATACACGAACAGCATGTTTTTGAAAAACAGTATTTCCACCACTATTTAGTGCTTTATTTTCTCATATCCCTGAGAGGATAAAGACTTAAATTTCATAATATCAAGTTGAGTACTAGTTACAGCTCCTTGCCTCCAAACAAAAATGATTTTAAGGATATTTTAGTATATACTCCCACTAGACCATAAGAATGACCAACTATGAATTCTTGAAAGAAGGAAAAAGCATATCTGGATGACAAATGAATCCATAATTCAGTGTACATTTTGGAGGGGGGTAGTAATACAGGAAGATGGCAGCCACAAACCAAAGAGAGTTTGAAACATGCACAATGAGACCATGAGTTACTGACCATCACCAGTCACGCTGGCACCATCACATAACCATGTGCTCCCTGGGTCAGACAGAGAAAAATATAGATTTTTTTCTTCCAGGCCAAAATATAAAGTGAGAAGATTTGAGTTGGAGAAGAGAACATAATACCCAGAACTTGTAACACATAGGTAGAAAGATCTTTTGTACCCAGATTGTTAGCTACAGATACATCCTCCCCACAAGTTTGTCCCATTGTTTTCTTTACAATTTAAAGAGGTTTAATGACTCACAAGTGCAGTTCTGTTTCTCCAACAAGATGAGACTAATCATAAACCAAATGTAGGATAATACAAACATTTCAGAACTAGCATGAATAGAAAACCCAAAATGAACACACCACTGGAAGGAAGGCATGGCTATGAACCAAAAGCTCAAAATTGAACAAAGAAGATGTGCCAAGGAAAAGAATTTAGGTGGGCTGCAGAAGTATATACAATGATTTCAGTAAGATGACATTTACACTCATTAAACTGACATGCTCATGCCTGTAATTCTAGCTATTGGAGAGACTCAGAATGGAAAGGTCATGGATTGAAGCCAGCCAAAGCAGAAAAGTTTGTGAGACCACTTCTCAATCCTTAGCTGGGCACAGTGGCGTTCACCTGTGGTCCCAAAGTACATGGGAAGCTAAGATTGGGATCATTGCCAGGCTAAGTAGGTAGACACAGAAGTCTGCACCTGTCATCTCGGTGTTAAGGAAGTTAAGTCTCAAAGTAGGTGGGTGGATGGTGACTTGGATGCTTATGTGAATGGGAAATGTGACTCTATCCTAAAACTGGAAAAATGACTGGAGGTGTGGCTCATTCGCACTGTGCCAGTGCAAGTTATTGAGTTCAAACTTCTAGTAATACACTGTTCCTCCAAAAACGATTCCAAATTATACTAAAGAGCTGTATTAACAAAACAACTTGGTACTGGTTGAAACCAGAAACATAGAACAGAACAGAATAAAATAGAATATCTAAAAACACATACAGACTTGATTTTTGAAAGACAAGTGAAACTTGGATAAAAGACTTCCTCTTTAACAAATGGCCCTGTCATGATTGGATATCCACATACAAAAGAATAAAACTAGATCTCCATCTCTCATGCTATATAAAATTAATGCAAAATGGATCAAAGATCTTAATGTAAGACCTGAAAAATGGAAACTTGATGAATATACCTGGAGAAAAGTTCAGGATATAGTGATAGGTATTGACATTCTGGGTAGGCTTCTAATAATTTAGGAAATAAAATCAAGAACCCACAAATGGGACTGAATCAATTAACAAAACAAAAACCACCACTATACAGCAAAGAAAACAATTACCACAGTGAAGAGATACCAAACAGAATGGAGAAAATGTCTTTGCATCTGTTCTTCTGACAAGTGTTAATAGGCAGAATATCAAAAAAAATATGAGCAACCAAGGAAAAGTACTCCAACCAATAAATGGGCAAATGAACTGGAAAAAAGGCTCTCAAAAGTACAAATTTCTAGTAAATGCATGAAAAAATGGTCCACATCTTTAGCCATCAGGGAAAGAGAAATGAGAACTGTGTGGTAATCCCATTGTACTCCGTCAGAATGGCTATCATTAACAAAATATGTGATTAACAAAAAGTGGTGATGATGCAGAGAAAAAGAAACACACTTTTGGAGGTGGGGACAGGAAGATGTACATAAGTTCAATCACTATAGAAATAAGTTTTCTTAACAAACGAAAACAAAAACTACAGTTTGAACCTTACAATAATACCATTCCAGCACATATCCCCCAAAGACTCAAAGTCTGCATACAATAAGAGTTACTTACATTGCTATGTCATTGTGACATTGTTCACAATTTCATAATGGCCAAGTTATGGAACCAGCCTAGAGTTCCCATCATTGGATGAATATATAAATAAAATGTGGTATATATACTAGAAAATTTCACAGAACTAATAATAATAGATCCAGCATTCCATTCCTGGATATAGATGGACATATACCAAGGGAAATGAAACCCTCAAACATATGTTTCTTACAGTGCTGTTCTCAAGAACTACTATATCATAATAGCCTAGGTACCCATGAAGAGATGAATGGATTTTTTTAATGTGTAAACATACATGGTGGAATCGTTTTCAGCTGTAAAGAGTGAAATCCTGACATTTTCAGCAAAAACAATGGAACTGGGGGAAAATGTGTGAAGTGAAATAAAGCTAGACCAAGAAGACAAGTATTATATGTTCTTTATTTCACTTATAGATGACAAAGAAAGCAAAAGTAATCTGAAAGAATCATCAATACTAGACACTGAGAAGGGGCTATGTTAGCTAGGGCATTGTATACATGTATGCGGATGCTGCCCTGAGCTCCATTAGTACATAGGACTAACACATGGGAATGAGAACTGTTCCTCTTACACAATGAAATTGAAATGTTCAAGTTCACAAACTCAAAACCCTAGCTATATAGCAGAAATTACCCAAATGAAGAGCCAATCCATGAGCTTCATGCCAAGAAATTTGGTCAGAATGCAGCTAAAGATTTTAAGTCTGAAAGTTTAGGGAAGTGTTAGTCTCGTCCCAATTTCCACAGTGTTTTCTTTTATTCTCTACCCTTCCCTTTCTCTTTCCAAGTTTTTTAACTTGCCCTATTTTAAAACATCAGTTCTAACGTTGGGGCTACTGCCTAAATAAAGTCTCATTTCTTGAGATTCATGTATAGCCTTCTAAAACTGTAGTTTTGTTTTCACTTTGTATCTCTTCATTTTGATGTCAAACTTATTATTCC